CTTCCCTTCATTTTTGCTCTATGCACCTGTATACCCGAAGGGTCCATGTACCTATATAGTATATACGCGGCCTTTACAAGGGCTCCCATACAGCTTTAGGGCCCAAGTATATACTATGCAGGTACATGGACCCTTAGGGATAGGGTTTGGGAAACTTCCAGGAGTTTCCCCAAACCCTTTGAAACGCTTGAAACCTTTGAAATCTTTGAAACCTTTGAAACGTGAAATGTCGGGAAGATTTAGGGCGTAGGGTTTTGGGTTGTAGGGTTTTAGGGTTGTAGGGTTGTCGCGGTTTGGGGTTGCAGGGGTATTTGTCGGGGGTAGGAAACAGGGGTACCCCTGTTACGCGCCACATAGAATAGAATGCCTTAGAGGGGCCCCCAGAAAGGGCACCCCTCTGTTTCGGAACCCCCCCATATCTATAGCCAAAAACAAGGGGGTTTCCGATATTCGGGGTGCCTTGTTTGGGGTACTTATGATAAGGGAACCCTACTATTTGGGGGTCTATATTTGGCGTCCCCTATTTTCGTAAACCCCTCAACCCTAAACCCCAAACCCCAAACCCTAAACCCTAAACCCTAAACCCTAAACCTCCATATGTTCTGGCAGCTCGAACACCCCATGGGCGGGTGGGTGTGCTTCCATCGTTTGACCAGCGAAAGCTTCCACTTGCTGAATCCCAAGCCTTGTCAGCCCCGTAAGCCCCACAAGCCCTATGAGCCCCATAAGCACTATAAGCCCCTTATGCCAAGCCTACAATCCCCATAAGCCCCATAAGCCCTATAAGCCCTAACCCTAAACCTAAACCCTAGGCCCTAAACCCTATACCCTAAACCCTGAACCCCAAACTCTAAACCCTAAACCCTAAACCCTAAGCCCTGAATCCCAAACCCTCCCGATCCTCTGCTGAGAGCGCGGAGGCCCCGATGGCGAATTCACGGGTGGCCGTGGCCACCTTAGAAGGATGTCATGTAGGATGTCATGTAGGGTTTAGGGTTTAGGGTTTAGGGTTTAGGGTTTAGGGTTTAGGGTTTAGGGCTTAGGGCTTAGGGTTTAGGGTTTAGGGTTTGGGGTTGAATTAGGGTTTAGGGTTTAGAGTTACAGCGATGACGGTTCAGCCTGTAGAGAGGAGAGTCGGGTTTAAGAGTTTAGGGCTTAGGGCTTGGAGTTTTTCGAACGGAAAGAGTTCAGAGTTTAGGTCGTGGGGCTTAGGCTTGCTCAGCGAGCCCTACGTGTTTAGGGTTCGCTAAGTTGTCGTCCGTTCCGCCGCGCCGAAATGCAACACGGAGCCCCAAATTTTGGGTACCCAACAAAAACCTAATTTAACACAACCACCCATGTACAACGACCAAGAGAATGACTTTGGCTGAGTGATTTGTGCTGCTTTGTCGACGTCCTCACCACTCGCCAAAGCATTCGGGGTCGGCACAGGTTACTCCGAGGTGTTTAGGGAATAAATGTTGAATTGGCATTTTTTGACCTTCCCTCCCTACCCCTCAAAAAAACCCGGGGACTCAAATATACCCCCCCGCCCTTTAAATAACTAAGCCAAAGCTGCGGGGAAAGCAGGTAGGGCCGACAACAAAAGGCCAGCCCTATAACCCCCCCCCCCCCCCATCTCAAGACTAGATTCAACACCCAAACCCTCTACAGTCAGAAATTTCGGCCTCCCAGACCCATGTACCGCAGTACAGTCACATTAGGGGCTGAGGTTTGGGGCTTCAGGCGGCATGCAGACACTTGTGCCTTTTGGTCCTCACGCGTATCATATCTCAGAACAGGGCTTGCCCCCTGCGCCTATGCATGTCAGGTGCATGCCCTGAACTCTAAGCCATGAATTTCCTGAGCTTGGCTGGCCCTTTTGATTGAACCTACCAGGACCAGAATCAGTCCCGATTCTTAATATAAACTTCTGGGAAACTTACAGGATGTGCTTGTTTGGCCGTGGGGTGGTGTTGATTTGCTTGGCAAAGTTTTTGCTAAGAGTGAGGAATCATGATGGCTCCATGTGTGTATGTGTATGCGCGTGTGTTTGTGAGAGTGAAGTGGGTAGACAGCTTACATGCTTGTGGTACCCGTGTCAGCTAGGGCCTTAGGGTTTAGAGGTTTAGGGCAGTGGTGGTGATTTGTAGAAATTTATGAACTTTGTGCGTTGGTGCATGGCTGCTTTGCTATGATATGAGGGGCCTGCCCTGTGGAACTTGCGCGGGCCACCAGCACAAGCGTTTTGTTGCAGGAAATGGCCAGGCAGCATTCGCCCGCGGCGCCGCAGAGACACTGCTCAGTAAGGCCACACTTTACCTTGGATTCTTGGTGTCTCACAGTGTCTGCAAAACGGGGTCTATCCCAGTAGAATGGGCACTTTGGGAAGCATGAGTAAGCTAAGAATTGCGACTCGTTCCCAAGGAACTTACCCTACTTAAAAAAAAAATATGGATTTTTGGGCAAAAATGGATTTTTGGGGCTCAGGGATTGTGATCAGCCCAGACAAGCAGCCTTGGCATCCTGCAAGACCTACGTAGCACCTGGGGATCTTCGTCACCTGCGCTTCGCGGCCAGCATCTTCCGGAAGAGTCCATCTTTCCGTTCCTCAAGCGCACGGGCTGGAGGGACAAGGATAACGACTTGAGGTTTTGTGGGTTTGGCCTTGCGGGCCAAGGTGGGGTGTAGAAGCTCGGTTCAAAAGGGGGCCGGTCCCGTAGATGGACCCTAAACAGCTCAACTCTGAACCATTGCCGGCTCCAACCCCAACGTCTCAAGCCACAAACCATGAGAATGATCTCTCCAAGCCCCACCGACACCCGAAGCAGTCCCTTTAGGCCCCTCCGGCCCTAAGCCCTAAACCCTAACCCCTAAAACCCTAAAAACTTAAAACCCTAACTCCCTAAGACCCTAAACCCGAACTCCCTAAAACCCGAAAAATCCTAACTCCCTAAAGCCCGAAACGCCCCAAACCGATCTTTTCCTAAACCCTAGCTCCCTAAAACCCGAAAACCCCTCAGCCGATCTTTTCTTACAGCCGAGTCTCCATCATCTCCTTCACCGTGCCTTGCTCCGCAACCGCCCCAGCCTGGCCCAAGGGGAGGGCAAGTGTTGATCATCTAAAATCTGGGGGGGAGGGGGGTTTAGGGTTTAGGGTTTAGGGTTTAGGGTTTAGGGTTCGATGGCCTGAAGCGTCCCCCCGGACGCACCTGGGGGGGCCCATATTACTTGCTGAGGGACCTTGGTCGACCCTGCCACCCCCACAGCCTGAATCAAGCAATCCCATCTTGCACTCCGCAGGTTGTGCCCTCGACCCTAAACACTAAACCCTAAACCCTAAACCCTAAACCCCAGAACCCTAAACACGATACCCTGAACCCTTAATACTCCTTCACCGGGCCTCCAGAACGACCACCTTGTCGAAGTCCAGGATGGTCTCTAACCTTGGGCATAGGTGGCTTGGGGTTCTTAAACAGCTTGAAGGGTTTAGGGTTTAGGGTTTAGGGTTTAGGGTTTAGGGTTTAGGGTTTAGGGTTTAGGGTTTAGGGTTTAGGGTTTAGGGTTTAGGGTTTAGGGTTTAGGGTTTAGGGTTCAGAGCTTAGGGTTTACAGGGTTCAGGGTTCAGGATTCAGGGTTTTAGGGTTTTAGGGTTTAGGGTTTAGCCCAAGGCCACCCACCCTATCACAACTCGCAGCGAGCCAAGCCAGAGCCGGCCAAGCCATTTAGAGGACACTCGAACTCAAACACTTGCTGCGAGGGACTCTTGTGACTTTTGAACTATTTGGGGCACCTGGGACGCTTCGGACTTGCTTCCGGGTGACCTTGGATACTTTGGACACTAGGAATCACTTGGCTTGGGCACTTTCTTAAAGCTTGTGGCGCACTTGGCAAACTGACTTGGGGATATTTGAGACACTGGGGAGCATTTGGCTTAGGGCTCAAATTCGGCAAGCTTTTGGCGAACTGGGCAAACGTTTAGGCCAACTTCTCAGCGTGCTTGAAGACACATACTTGGGCTGCTTGGGGCACTTCGGGCTTGCCTTTGGTACATTTGTCACTTGGGGCACTCTCTGGTTCATTGCTGGCCGACTAGTTGGAAACCCTTGATTCTTTGGACTTTCTGGTCGGTTGCCAAGGATACCCTCCCTCCATGGTAGGTATTATCAGCTTGGAACTGCGCTGCTGATGTTTTATGAAACATATGTTTTCAGCGCCTTGGCCTTCGTCCCAGGGGGATGCTGAGCAGCATTCTTCGCATGCAACTGGCGCGGCTGCTCAGAGAGCGATCATGAGCTTGTTGTGAACACTTCTGAATGCGGGTGCAAAGGTCACAGTGCAGGTGGCAAAACCGAATCGCCGGCATCCTTGGCTTCGGAACTGACGTTTGCAAAGTGTGTTGAGTGGGGGGGGGGGGGGCATCGAGGTTACAGCTTGATTTGAGTGCAGCGGTTGCGCAGGCCGCGTCAGGCCCTCAGAATCCGCACCGGGCGTAGTGATGAGATGCCCTCTAGCAGCCAAGTCAATCGAGTCACAGGAGTTATCTGGAGGAGCAGAAGGCTGCCAGGCCCTGTCGGCTCTCACCGTCCTTACTCTGCTTGCCTCGCAAGCCTACACTACTTACTTCATCTACTTCAATGTCCTTGATGTCCGGACAAGTACTGTTTGGTCAAAGAGCTCAGACCTGTCACGGAAATCTACGACAGTTGAGTGCGCTCATAGGTTGCGAGGGGAACGCCGTAAAGGAGACCCTTCTCATGGTGATCGAGAGAGAGGCCACTCCACGTTTCAACATTCCTGAACCCACAACCGCTCGCAGAAGCTCGCGTGTTTGGGAAGGAAGTGGCAAGAAAGTGGCCGGCTGTGCAGCGTACGTAGCCATTTCTGCTACTGGTAGAGAGGCAGAGAGGAAGCACCCAGTAGCACAACAGCTCATCGTGAGCAGGCAGACGGTGACAGTGATTCTCGCCAGCGATGTAGTGCCTTGAGTTGCGCGTAGGGAGTGTTTGGAGGTGCCTGCCATGTCGTTCCAGCCAGGAGACCACTTGTGGAAAAAGGGTGGGCGCTTTTCAGGAAAGCTGTACGATCACCACGTGATTTACAAAGCCAAAGATGCGAACGGACATGTCATAATTGAAAACTCTTTCCGTGCTGGTGGAGTTGTTCAGAAGATTCTTTCCGATGCGAAGCTGCAGCCTTACGAGCTCTACGAGAGGCCTTGCGACGCGGAAAGCTGCTTGGCTAGAGCCGAAGCTGCTCTGTCCGAGCGCCGCAAGTACAGCCTCCTTTTCTACAATTGTGAGACCTTTGCCAACGACTGCCTTCACGGCTCTGGTGGCAGCTTTCAGGTACGAAGGGCAACGGGGCACGTTGCGCTCTTAAGCTCAGTCTCTTCGGCTGCAGCCACCTCCGCGGCAGTTGGCCTGGTTACCACGAGGCACGTAGTGGTTCACATCCCGGAGAAAGGGATGTTTGGTTTGTGGGCCTTGCTGGGTTTCACACGACCAGAAGTGAAGACGGTTCTTGTTAGCCATCCACTCGGGATAGCTGCAGCCAGCGGCGCAGCATGTGGATGTTGCATCTGGTCCTGCTTTGCAATCTTCGGACGTGATCCGAGAAAGCATCGAAGGCGCCCGGGTCACTAGTCATACTGTACCGATCTGCCCAACAACTGTCTGCAGGTTTCCAACTTTTAATTATGCAGACAGTGCTGGTTGGTGCCTGTCTGGTGCCTTTCTGATTAAAACATTAGCAGCGCAGTTCCAAGCAAAGTTTTATAAAACATTAGCAGTGACTGAGCTAGGCGACCCTAGCACTAGGCCTTTCATGCTCGACCCCACAAACCCGACACGCCTTTGAAGACCCTAGTCCCTAAACCCGAAACCCTAAACCCCAAACCTTACCCACAGTCGACTCCCTAAGTCGTATCATAGAAGCCCTATGTCCTAAACACTGTGAAGCCCTAACTCCCTAGACCGTACTCGCACTGAACCCTGTGAACCCTCAGCAGGATTTTCGAGATTTTTGCGTTTAAAGGTTACCCAAACCCCTAAACCCTAAACCCTAAACCCTAAACCCTAAACCCTAAACCCTAAACCCTAAACCCTAAACCCTAAACCCTAGCTATAAATCCTACAACGTGTTGCCCCTGTAAACCCGTAAGCCCTACACCACGCAAAGCGCAAAGCCCAAACTGGGCCTTTCGAGGTTTAGCCGCACTTACTAGCTGGGGATATCTAGACTTTCCTACCCTGACCCTAAACGCCTTAAACCGAAACGACTGAAACCCCAGACCCTAGACCCTAAACCCTAAACCTAAACCCTAAACCCTTCAAACTGTTTAAGAACTCGCTCAGCAAGCACCTTGATCCCAAAACAAAACCTGCGCCCTCTCTGCTGGGACCATGGCCGATGTGCGACGGCCACCAGGGTCGAACCTAAACAAGGTGGAGGGGTTTAGGGTTTAGGGTTTAGGGTTTAGGGTTTAGGGTTTCGGGTTTCGGGTTTCGGGCTCGGGGTGCTCGCACTAGGGTCTGCTTTGGACGGAATTAGCGGCCGACAGGCTCGCACCAAAGGTTTAGGGTTTAGGGTTTAGGGTTTAGGGTTTAGGGTTTAGGGAGATTTTAGATTCTTGGCGTACCTGTGGGGGGGGGGGGGGGAAGGTTTGGGGGACCACTATATGCATGTCGGATGTACGAGTCCAGTTTGCAGGTTGGTGGCTTTCAGGGTTTGCGCGAAAGGGTTGGAAGTAAACCCTAAACCCTAAACCCTAAACCCTGAACCCCAAACCCTAAACCCTAAACCCTAAACACCACAAAGCTTGAACCCTTGGGCCCCCTCTTGAACCCCGAAAGCTCACAGACCTGAACCCTCGACCCCGAGACCCTGTTTTTGGGTTTAGGGTTTAGGGTTTAGGGTTTAGGGTTTAGGGTTTAGGGGTTGGGGTCTTCGGGGGTTTAGGGATTTAGGGGGTTTAAGGTTTAGGGCGATGGCTTAGCGCAGTCAAGCCGAGAATGAAGGCTCATTCTCATGCGAGTGCAGTGCAAGGCACTTGGAAACGCTGAGTTGATCGTCGCCTGTCGTGTAGGGGAAGGATAAGGGGTGTAGGATTCAGGGTTTAGGGCTAAACCCGAAACCCTAAACAATAAATCCTAAACCCTAAACCCCAAACCCTAAACCCCTAACCGACGCTTGGGGTTTGGATCCCAGCGATTTTAGGATGCAGCAGGTTGCAGGACCTAGGGCGGGCGTAAGAGGTCAGGGGCTTCAGGATTTAGGGGTTTAGGGTTCAGGGTTTGGGGGTCTAGGGCACGGCTGCCAGGCTCAGTGCAGTGATGACTTCTTGAGTGTTTGGGTGTCAGGGCTCAGGGTTTATGATTTCGAGTGTCAAGCGGGGAAAGGGTTTGGACCGCAAGACGTGATCCTTGTAAGCATGCACCTGCCGTGCTCAAGCACTGGTCGGAACAAACCCTAAACCCTAAACCCTAAACCCTGGCCCCCCTGCATAGCTGGCAGTCCTGGACTTTCTCCTGCGTACTTGGATCAATTGCAGAGGTGGCTTCGTCCAGCAGCCTGGGTAGCTAAACCCTCTAAGCCCGAAGCTCTAAGGGTTTAGGGTTTAGGGTTTCGGGTTTAGGGTTTCGGGTAGCCCTCAGCCCTGAGCCCCAAGCCCTAACTCCTAAGCCCTAAGCCTCTCCCACCACTGACCACTCAGACCCTAAACGCAGAGCGTTTAGGGTTTAGGGTCTACGGTCTGGGGGTTAGGTCTTAGGGTGTAAGAGTCTCAGGGTCGTCCTAGGGTCTTAGATGTTTGAAGTTTGAGGTTTTCGGGCCTGAGGGGTTTAGGGTCTCTACCCTTGCAAGGGTTTAGGGTTTAGGGTTTAGGGTTTAGGGTTTAGGGTTTAGGGTTTAGGGGCGTGTTGACAAGATCTCGCCCCCCAGAGTCTTTGTGAATGCCACGCGGCAGAACGGCCGGCTGCCGCAAGACCATCCGGGCCAAGCAGACAAGCTGGCGCTGTCCGAAGCTCAGGTTGCTTCCTGAAGATCCAGGGGACACAGAGGCATCTCCGCCCTAAACCCTAACCCCCAAACCCTAAACCCTAAACCCTCAATCCTAAACCCAAAAACCTAAACCCTAACTTAAACCTGAACCCTAAACGTCCTCCTAAGCCCTATAAGCCCCCAATCCTTTGGGTGCTTCAACATGCAAGGGATTCGGCCGTAAGGGTTTAGGGTTTAGGGTTTAGGGTTAGCCCTAAACGCTGAACCTTGCACGCTGTGCGCGGCTTAGCACTTCGGGGCTTGCTAGCGTCTGGGCATGGTTTTGCTTCACATTTGATGCTGCAGAGAGCAGGTGTTCATTGTTGCTGGCCTCAATACCCTAAACACCCTACATCCTAAACCCGAAACCCTCAAATCCTCAACCCTTAAATCCATGAGGCTAAGCCATAAAGCCAAACACCTTACAACACTCAAATCTTAAACCCCTAAAGCCAGAATCCTACAAACCCAAAGTCCTAGAAGTCTCGTATCCCTACACCCTAAACCCTGGAAGCCTCAAACCCTAAGCCTAAACTCTAAGCATCAGGAACCCTCAAAGCCTAATATCCCCAAAACCCTGAACCCTAAACGCCCCAAACCCTAAATGCCTCCAACCCTAAACCCTAAACCCTAAACCCTAAACCCCAAACCCCAAACCCTAAACCCTCCCTGAACCCTGAACCCTAAACATCATGAACGCATGGGCTGACTCCCCACCTTCTTCGTTGATCTGGTGGTCCAGCTTCATTGGGAAGGACTCCAGCAGATCCTGGAGTCCAGCCACATGTAAGGCCTGACAGGGAGGATCGCTGAAACCCTAACAGGGTTTTTGGGGGGTTTAGGGTTTAGGGTTTAGGGTTTAGGGTTTAGGGTTTAGGGTTTAGGGTTTAGGGTTTAGGGTTTAGGGTTTAGGGTTTAGGGTTTAGGGTTTAGGGTTTAGGGTTGGCAAAGCCAAAAACCCTAAGCCCTGGCTTTAAGAGTTTTTTGTTGGTAAGAAATGGTTCAGGGCTCGGGCTTGGGTCTATGAGGTTATGAGGTTAAGCGCAGCCCCTCATCTCGACAAAGTGGGCGGTGCAGCACTCTTTGTGTAGCTGTATAGACGTACCCCTTGTCCCAAAGGCTTCCGTATCCGTTTCACTTCAGCAACCGTTCTGCATCACATCTCTTTCTGTGCTCTGCTTCAGCTGGTGTTCGCCCACTTTCCTGCGCTCGTGCACCACGCCCACACGCAAGCGCGACGGCAATTAAAGCGCCGCAGACAATACGCAAGATATTGTGCGTTCCACTGTTGGCCCCTTGTGGAACATGCCACAGCAGCCTGCCGCTTTTGGCGTGCTTCGGGTTGGGTGGAGTGGTAGAGGATCCCTCCTCCCCCTCCCTAAACCCTAAACCCTAAACCCTAAACCCTAAACCCTAAACCCTAAACCCCAAACCCTAAACCCTAAACCCTAAACCCCAAACCCCAAACCCCAAACCCCAAACCCTAAACAAACCCCCCGCCACAACCTAACCCAATCTGTAGCTTCATGGGATGGCCTTTCAAGGCCCACTCAACTACCTGGGACTCTCTTTACCAACAGTTTAGTGGCAACTACCCTTAAGTAGTACCCTAAACCCTAAACCCTAAACCCTAAACCCTAAACCCTAAACCCCAAACCCTAAACCCTAAACCCTAAACCCTAAACCCAAAAAAAACTGCAGCTAAGGAGGGCCCTAAATTGGGAGAGCATATGGGCTCGTTTCCTCTGCAAGAGTCTGAGCACCCGAGCCCAAAGGCCTGTACATGTGGTGCCCGTTTTTGAGATGGTCCCCGTGTTGAGAAGGGCCCATATTGTATTAGGCTAGACCGCAAGCCCTAAACCCTATACCCTAAACCCTAAACCCTAAACCGCGCGGTTAGGCTCAGAGGGCTGCGCGCGGAAGGGCTCGGCCTGGACGATCCGCCCTTCGGAGTACTGCTCGAAGGGGTCCAAGTTGTGCCCTTAGTGTTATAGGGTTTATAGGGTGTATAGGGTGCATAGGGTTTACAGGGTTTATAGGGCTAATTATAGGGTTTTACGGTTTAGGGTTTAGGTTATAGTGCTTAAAGGGGGTTATAGGGTCTCATAGGGATTTAAAGGGTTTTATAGGGTTTGTATCCGGTTGAAAGGCTTCTCATAGTGTTTTATAGGGTTTATAGGGTTTTCATACGGGTTTCATAGGGTTTTCAGAGGGTATTCAATGGTTTTCATAGTGTTTCGATAGTGTTTATAGGGTTTTTCGGGCTTCTAGGGCTTTATAAGGCTTTCTCGGGTTTACAGGGTTTTCATAGGGTTTGCAGGCTTTTCATAGGGTGTAAAGGGTTTATCGGGAGTTCATCGGGTTTATGGGGTTTTCAAAGGGTTTTTTGGGTTTTCATACGGTTTTCATTGGGTTTTTGGGGTTTGCAGGGTTTTCATAGGGTTTCATAGGGAATTGCAACTGCTTGGGCACAGAAGTGGCTGGGTTCCAAGCCCTGCAACAAGAAGCAACCGGAAGGTCGTCTTTCCTGATATCGAACTTGGGAGTTGGCCTCTGCGTCGAACGTCCGTCACATCTCAGGGGTGTATGCTCGAGGCTCACGTGA